ATGGCAGGGATGAAACCGGGACTGTGGAGTCAGGGGGTCCAAGCTCGGTTCCCAAGAACAGGTCACCATCTGTTCATTCCAGTTTAATAAACATGAACTGGCCCCTCGACAGACCCTGTACCATGTGTTGAGGTTGCTGGACAAATGGAATGTGGTCCCTGGCAGCCTGGGAGGAGTGACAGATAAATGAACAAGCAGTTCCTAGAAAGCATAACAAATGCTGAGTGGGCTGGACACCTGTGCAAAGGGCTATGGGAACCCAGAGCCAGGGACTTGGCCATGTGGCTCCTGGACAGTCACGTCCCTTCTCGGCTTCAATTTTCAATGCTAGAGAGTTGTTTTCAGCATGCGAGTGCCTAGCCCACAGTTACTATGTCATCAGTAGCCACTGTCTTGTCTTCTCTTGAGTGGGAGTTCTCGAACTCTCAGAACACTGTCATCTCCACGCCTGTCTAGCCCACAGATCTACCAGAGGTCTTGCCTTTTGCACAGGAACTGAGGCTTCCTTGATCTTAATTTCCATACTCTGGGGTACACCTGAAGTCATTCCTCAAGGTATCAGTAACACACTTGGCCATATTTCCCAAATCCCTTCTGCCTCTGGTCCCTCTGTTCCCAAGTGGTATTTCATTGCCCCAAGGGAAGCATACCCATCTCAGCCCTTTCTAGAATCCACAGGAGGTCAAAAACCTTTTGTGTTGTTCTAAGGGCCCATTGAAGATCTGGGAGTCACACTGGGCTCTTGGCAACATTCTGCTACCTTGTTCACCCCCATCTTCTCCTGTTCAGTCTTAGTGACAAGTAGATTCATTTTTCTCTTCCTGTGAAGGCTGAGCACAACTGATCCCAAGGCACTGGGGGTGCAGCTTCTGCTCCAGATAAACTTCTTAAGGCATTTCTCCAAGAAAGGCCATTTTCTCTAAGAGGAATGCCCACAGTTAAACAGAGGCAATTTTCTCTCTCCCTTTACAGTTCATTTTATACTCATTAACAGCCCTCTGAGATTAGTGCAATAATTTCCACTTTATAGACGAGGAAATGGAGGCTCAGAGATGAAGTGCCCTTGCCCAAGGTCACACACTAGTGAGTGCCAGAGTCTGGCTTCCAGCCGGGCTCCCGTTGTTCCCTGTGGCCAGTTCCCAGTGGCCCATCTGATGACTGTGGCATTGCTTCAGAGGAAGCAAGGAACTTCCCCAGTGCCGGGACCTTCTGGCTCTCGGAGGGAGTCTCTGCTCTGTGGCAGCCTTGCATCATCCCTTCCCCTCTTGGAAAAGGCACCTCTGCCTGCTTCCTCCTTTAAGAAGAGCAGGCAGGTGTTTGAGTGCACAGCTGTCCAGGTGAGCTGTGGAGAGAATTCTGGTGAAGCTGGAGACCAGCAGTGGGAAAACAGGCCAGTGATCAAAGGAGCACTAAGTGTGACTGAGTCCCGTGTCGCCCTCTCCAGTGGGTCCCTGGCTCCTGAGGGTCAAGCATTTCTGCCTTACGGGTCCCAGCATCCTCCCCAGGTGTCCACAGGCCCCTGTGACTTGGTCCCCTTGCCTGTGGTCTCATGGCACAGCATAAATGCAGAGGCACTGGACCCCTGCGGACTTCAGATCTCAGCTGAGCACTCCCTATGTGGCACAGGCCACAGGGCTCTGGTTTCCTCTCTGACGAGACAAGTGATGCTTTCCTTGCAGATGGTGGTGAGGTCCACAAAATGGGCCATCCACCCTTTGGCTTGACGCTCTCTGGGGCCTTCCGGTGCATGTCTCCGGACTGGGTGCGGGCTCCTGGGACAAGCGGTCAGCATTCCTGCTCTCCCAGGGCTTACATTCTGGTGGGCAGGGCCAACTTTTATTTTATTTTTTTTTTTAAATTTTTATTTATTTATGATAGTCACACACACACAGAGAGAGAGAGAGAGAGGCAGAGACATAGGCAGAGGGAGAAGCAGGCTCCATGCACCGGGAGCCCGACGTGGGATTCGATCCCGGGTCTCCAGGATCGCGCCCTGGGCCAAAGGCAGGCACCAAACCGCTGCGCCACCCAGGGATCCCAGGGCCAACTTTTAAAAAGCTGCTGTGGTGGGAAATGAATAAATAAAGAAACAGTGAACAAGAAGAGAAAGAAATAGAATAGCCCCTGAGCTCTGCCGGGGCAGGGGGTGGGGGTAGCTCAGCAGGGACATCTTTCCTCACAGAGGAGACCAAGTGAACAGGGAGGGAAAGCAGGAGAGGGTACGGCCAACTCCAGCAGGGAGGGGAAGGGCGGCAGGCAGAGCGCAGGAGGAAGAGGTGGGAGAGAGAGGGTGGCTCTGCTTCCCTCGAGGACATACACAGCACCTGCCCGACTCTCTCTCAAGACCCCTCGTGTCTGGCATGTCTTCTGACTTTGCACACTAGGCATGTAGTCAGATAGACACAAGTTCAAAACCCCCCTTGCCACTTGCTAGTCTTGTTAACTCGGCACAAGTTCCTGGGCCTCTCTGGCCTCAGTCTATTTATCTGTAAAGTGGGACTGGCAGCCAGTCCCTCCCTCACAGGGTCACAAGGTGATGCAGGTGACAGACCCTGACTGGCCATCAGCGCTGTTTTAGTGTTTCATTTGTGCTTTAGGGGCACATTGGAGATTCCCTCAAAAATATTTAACATGGGCTGTGGTACATCTTAGGATGTTTAATAAACTGGATGACTCTTGGATTTAAAAGGTCTTACATGTTGCCATCCTCACTCTGTAAGGAGATGAGGTGAGAAAGCCCTAAGGGTGATGATCTTCTTGGGGTGTGCCGTCTGTTTTGAAGGCACAGCCAGAGGAGGAGTGTCCTGAGGTCCTGAGCAGGGATAAGTGGCCTCCCTGCCAGGAGAGTTCTGGCATTGGGACCTGCAGAAAGGCTCCAGCTGGGCAAAACTGGTGGGAACACTCAGACTTCCCAGGCAAGCAGCTTCTTGCTCATCCTGTGCTTTTGTACATTTGTCCTCATGCCATCAGGAGTTGTTAAACTAATCGACCACACCAGATCATACCCCCACTACTATGGGGACCACACTTTTCACCTTCTATTCTGTGTGGGCTCAGCACAATGGACCTTCAGCAACAGCTTATTCAATGTCACATTCTCAAAGTCACCCATTTGCTTTTGGAACGCTGGCTCTCTTTTACACAAAGGACCTGTGAACATGAATAATTGGGCTGTACAAGTGACCGTGAACTCCTCAGTCAATCCAGAGCCAGGCTGCTCACTGTCCCCAGCAGCTCGTGAGCAGGCCTGGGCTGGTTTGCCAGGCGCCCTGACATTTCTGGGCATCCTCCTCTAAAGAACACTGTTCTGAAGTGTGTTCCTTGGCAAGGCTCTGTCACGAGTCACAGGACATTTTCCCCATAGGGACAGATCAGGGAACGTAGCTTGTACGGAGTCCTGCCCACTTTCTTACTGTTGCATTGGCATAGGGGCAGCCTTACCCCTGAATGCTTTTAGAGGACAAAATACTAATACCCCTATATGCTCTTAGGGTAATAGAATCCATCATTTGCATAAGGATACTATACAGCACTGCCACTTAAAAGACTTTCAGAGTAGAGACAACATACAAAGCCTTATTATTTGCATCACTATTCTTACCACTACAAAAGAAACACCACCATATATTGAGTGCTTATTAAATCCCAGGTATAATTCTAAGAGCTCTGCAAACAACATTTCATTTAGCCCCCCACTACCCACCAGTGAGCTTAGTACTATTATTACCCTCATTTTATAAATGAAATAAAAGATGGACCGAGAGAAATTACAGAACTTGATAAAGCTGTATAGGTAATATGGAAAGAAAATACTGATTTAATCTCTAGCCTCGGCTTAACTACTTCCAGCTAAGATAGTCAACACAAGAACTTATGGGGATACTGATCACAAAAGAAGTTATGCTTCTATTATAAGAAATGCCTAAGCTTTATAGAATGACTTCACATGTGGGGATTTTTTTTTTAAATGTTTCATTTGTTATAATGTGTTTTGTACTAAAGCACCTATTTTATATGATGTATAAACAGAATATTTGCAATAAAATAAGACAGCCAAAGTTATATATGGGGGTCTGGATGGGGAAGGATGACATGGGACATAGCAACAGAGTGTGAAGACATGACCACATCTGCTTTTCAATTATTTATTTATTGAGAGAGAGGCAGGAAGGGGGAGGCAGAGGAAGAGCAAGAATCTCAAGCAGGCACCATTCTGAGTGTGGAGCCCAGCACAGGGCTCGATGTCATGACCCTAAGATCATGACCTGAGACAAAATCAAGAGTTGAATGCTTCACCAAGTGAGCCACCCAGGTGCCCCCATATCCGGTTTTAGGACCATGTCCTGGAGGGGGTGTGTCTGGAAAAAAGTGAGAGCAGAGAAAGAATGTCAAGGGCTGTCATTGGAGGCTAGGAAATGATCGGTCGTGTTCTCAGTGGAAGGAGGGAAAATTGTAAGGAGGAGTCAGCAGTGCCGGTGACCATGTAGATGAGGTACTGAACGCTGTGTACTGAACACATGGCTGGATTTCCAGCCTGCACACCTCAGTGTGGTTAATGAGGGAGAGGGGGCTGATTTCCCAAGGGAGAGAATGTGGCAGGATTGCACGTAAGGCAAGTCTAAATTAGTCCAACCGTGGGATGTTGTATGTGCTTTTGTTGGTTCCCAGGGCAGTTTTCAAGGGTGCCCCGATGAACCTTTACGAATTTAACAACTTTGCACTTCTTTTAATGGTTAACATTTATGTATGGCAAGTGATTCAGGTTTTCCCTTTATATAATTATGTTTTCTTTTTAATGCATGCGCATAAGTAAGAAAAAAATTTTGATTTACAGAAAAAATGTCAATTAAATTGTACTCTGTGGCAAAAATCATGAAGGCTATGGCTAAGGGGCCAAGATAAGTTTGGGGGCTGGTCCCTCCTGTTTCAGCAGGACACCCACCCCTGCTGCCTAACAGTCCTCCAAGCCTTTATGTCTCGTGTGCGTGTGTGTCTTGCAGACCCTGTGCACGGCCCGCAGAACGTGGAGATCGTGGACATCCGCGCCCGGCAGCTGACCCTGCAGTGGGAGCCCTTTGGCTATGCAGTGACCCGCTGCCACAGCTACAACCTGACGGTGCAGTACCAGTACGTGTTCAACCAGCAGCAGTACGAGGCTGAAGAGGTCATCCAGACCTCTTCCCACTATACCCTGCGTGGCCTGCGCCCCTTCATGACCATCCGGCTGCGGCTGCTGCTGTCCAACCCTGAGGGCCGGATGGAGAGTGAGGAGCTGGTGGTGCAAACAGAGGAGGACGGTGAGTGACGGGGATAAGGAGGTGTGCTCACTTGGGAATAGACGATGCTGAACCTGTCACCGGGCTATGCCCCACAGTGATGAGGTTTTCTATTTTCCTGCATCTTTAATTTCCTCCTCTGTAGCGACCTCTTCGCCAGGGTCTTTAACGAAGGGCATCACACAACTCCAGGGGGGCTGTCCCCTAGACACAGACACGCATTTAGATTTGATCCTTCCACAACCCCATCCTTCTTCTCACTTTATAAGACCTTTTATTTCTGGTGTTTAACCACACTGATGCTTCTGGAGGAGGCATTGTGTATCATATTGTTTTAGCGCATTGAATCTGGGAGTCATACCACTCTGGATTCTGTAGGAGTTAAATTAAAAAAAAAAAAAAACGTGTAAATTATGTAGCACACTCACTGGATGACCCAGAACCAAATCCACACTTGTATGTCTTACAAGTAGCTGAAATGCAAAGTATCCAAAAATGAACCAGTCTCTACTTCTCTACTGACTTCTCACTCCATGTTCCTCATGTCAGTGAACTGTATCCAGTGAGTCAAAATAAAGACCTGAAGTGATTCTCCATTTCTCCTCCCTACCCCACCCAGGCCCCTCCACCCCTACAAGGTTCTGATGAGTCAGCTTCGTGCAGTTTACCTCCCAACATGCCTCTTACCTTGAGACTCCTGGACTACAGAACCACATCACTTTTCCCGCCCTCTGTCCTTGCCCATGCCATTTCTCCTACTGTGATAGCCCCTCCCTCCATGTCTGTGAGACAAGCTGTATTCATCTTCAGGTCTTAGCTTGCATGCTACTTCCTCCAGGAAGCTTTCCCTGATGGCTCCAAACTGATATGAATGTTTCCTCCTATGCTCCCACTGCATTTTGCATGTGATTCCACCACAACAGCTGTCTTATTTATGGGAGGACAGAACTTGCTGGTTCTAGGACTTACCTAAAAAACACTTCTCAACACCATATTTCAGTTTTCCTTCCAGCATCTTTAGTTAGTTCTTTGGAAACAGACTGTGAGGTGTAGATTTGGGTACAGGTGATGGAGTAAGGAAGTTTTCCCTGGGGAGTCCGGAAGAGAAGTGAGACAGGATAAGGAAAGGAAGGGTAAGGTGCAACCTCAGGCCTTGTCCAGCAGAGGGGGCTGTGACCTGGTCTGCAGGAGAAGTCCACAGGACAGGTCTTGCATCACTCTTGGCTCCCAAGCGGGGAAGAAGGGAGCTGCCCTAGGGCTAGGCCTGGGATGCAGAAGGAGGGTCGGGAAGGAAATTCTCAGGAAGTGCTTGCTGTCTGCCACATGCAGACAAAAGGCCGAGGGGGCCAAAGATGGTGTACAGGGATGGACAGAGCACTGTCATTGTCAGCCACATGAGGCAAAGATGCGGGGCTTAGAACCTCAAGGCAGAACCTCTTCCATGACAATCCCCCCTATCACTCTTGCTTCACATAAGCAAGTTCAAGGACCCTGAGTAATGGCCCCTGCTGGGATCCAGATAGACATCCTCAGCTGCGAAGTCCCCCGAAGAGAAAGAAGAAAGTGTGCCAGCCTCTGCTCATCCTGTCCCCCTATCCTCCTTTCCCCAAATTCCATCCTATAACTGGAAGTTTTACACAACCCACCTACGTGGTAAACCCTTCATGACCCTCCTCCCCCTTTAAATTCATTGTCACGGCAACTCTTTGCAACCCTTGCAGACTCTGCTTCTCTAGATAGTAACTGAAGTAGTGACCCAGCCTCTGTCACCTTGGCCCCCCACCTTCCTGCCTAACAGTGACTGTAGGCCTGTTCACCCCTGGATCAGCCTCATCGGGTGACCTGAGTGCATTGCTTCCTGTGAACCCATTCTCATCCAACCTCCAATAGAGGAGTGGGCATCTGACCGGGGCATCCTTCTGCAGCTCAGGATCTGTGGCCTTGAGTTTGGTTCCAGGTGAAGGTGCTGGGCCTTTTCCTGGATGTCTCTGCTGTTTCAGAGATGCACAGCTCATCCTCCGGCAGGTAAAGGATGTGCTGCTATGGAAGGTGAGCTCTAGAGCCACACATGTGGGACAAGCCAGTCTCCCTCTCTGTGCCTCGGTGTCCTTGCCTGTCAAATGCAGATACAAATAGTGGCCATCTGATAGGTTGGTATGGTCACTGAAAGGAATGATATATAAAGACATTGGAATGAGAGCACCTGGCTGGCTCAATCGGTAGAACATGTGACTCTTCATCTCGGGGTTGTAACTTTGAGCCCCACATTGAGTATAGAGAATACTTAAAAATAAAACAAACAAAAAAAAAAGGGAATGATGTCCAGAAGACTGTAGGTTTTCAATGAATGTGGCTGTCACATTTGGATTAAATCACAGAAGAAAAAAATGTCTTGGCAAAGGATCCTATAGCCCAAGCAATGCAGAAACCAACAACCTGCCCTAGGACACGCATTCCAGCTGGTTGGAGAAGATATGACTTAGACACTCAAGGAATAGTGACGTGGTCAGTGCCTGATCTGAGAAGCAGAGCAGGACAGGGAGGGTGGTTGGGTGGCAATCGGTTATTAGACAAGGAGGAACTGCCACTATTGAAACTCAACGTGGAAACTCCAGAGTCAACATGAACAATAGGGTTAGGTCCAGGAGCAGCTCTAGGTGTTTTCTCCAGGATGCTCTGTGTGCCTCGGGCTGCTTTATGAGGATTACTTAACTTGTGCCACAGCAAATCCCAAGTCCCGTCTTTATGCCATGCCTCAGCCTCTCCCTTTCTCCTTCCTGTCACCAGGGGGGTGAAATCACAAAGCCTTTATCAAAGTAACTTAAGAGCAGCAATGCTTTAAAATTAAACTTTAATTAAACACCATTTATAAAACATCAATTCCTACTCTTTGGAGACGTGTGGACATTATCATATTAAAAACACCAACATCCATGACATGCGTCCTCCATCTCACAGCTCTGCTGAGGCCCCACCTCAGGACCCTCTGTGTTGAAGGAAGACTGCCAGAGGGCCCAGGCCCCTCCCTAGGCCAGGATCAGGTTCCATTCCTCCTCGAGAGGGAAGAGGCACCATTTCTGTTTGTTGGGAACTCATCCACCTCAAGGACAAACTGAGGCTGGGTCCTGGCCCTAGTCAATTAACTGAAACCCCCTTCAGGGAGCCACAGAGCAGCCTCTCAGATTGAGCTGCCTGGATTCATGCTGCTTTTGTCTGAGCTCCAAAACTGTCTTCTGGGGAATTTGTAAAATGGGTAATTTCGGTGCCCCAGTCCCTTTGAGGGCCTACAAATCATCCACCGCTGGTGAAAGCAGCTCATGGCCACAGAGCCCCATGACATCAGTTGGGGAGCAGCAAGGAGACTAATTGGGGTTCTTTATTTTTTCTTTTTTCATAGATGATTCAGACAAAACTGTGGCTTACTTATTTTGTGCTTCCTTCTCTGCCTTTCCCCAGACCACAGTCATGATTATGAAATGGAACATACGAGACCTTGAACTACAAAAACAGTGTTGATGATGGTCTCATTTGGCTACCATTTAGTGAGCACCTACCCTGTGCTAGGTACTAAAAGACGTGTTATACACGATGACTCAAACCCAAGATTTTATTGTGAAAGTTTCCATGCTATAGAAAAATTAAGAGTAGTATAAAGAAGACTTGTGAACCCTTGGCCTAGATTCACCACTGGTAAACACCATGCTCCATTTTCTTACTCATCTATATGTATGGTATGTGTGAAATGGAGGCATCACATATAAAAATGCATATAGTATTTTTAAGTATTTAAAAGTAAACTGCAGAAATCCCAACATTCTGATCTCTCAACTCTTTGAGAGTATACATTACCTAAGGGCAAGGACATTTTCCTACACAACCATGACACTATAAAACATCTAAGAAACTTAGCATTAATTGGGAAAAAATTAGGTAGGCAAAGCACATTCACATTTCCAATCATGTTAAGCATGATTTTGTGTGGCAAAACCAGAAAACGAGACATTTTTGGCAAAAATGCCACATGGGTTGGTGATGTGTATTTTTTACTGTATGCTATCTAGAGTTACATAATAATGTCAGGGAATGCCTGACATACTGCATTTGGCCACTTAGATAAGCCCCTCTGCTGTCAATACAGCCCTTTCCTCTTTTTAAAATCAGCAGTTCTGTGCATTGGTGCTTTGAGGTCTGGCAAATCCCTATTCCTCCATGATTTTTTCACCCAGTGGTTTTAGCCTCCTTGATAATCCTCCCCTGAATCATTTTATTTACAAAAGGGTGAATTTTAAATCTATCATTCCCTCTACATGGATTAATTAGCATTCTCCTTTATAGAATGATTTTCTCTTCCCATCCTTCCCCATTTTTAATATCCCTGTTGACTCATAGATCATTTGTTTTTGACTCCTTGCATTAAAATCCAGTACTATTTATAATTCTCTTCAATGCTCACATTATCTCATCTGTGGCTAGTGGGTTGGCTCTTAGGTTCTTTTGACATGTTCTCATTAGTCTTCCTTGCTTCTGCCATAACAAAATATTCTAGACCACCCTTGTAATATCTCTGCTCCACACCTGAAGTCAACCACTTCTCTAAGGATTTCTGGTCTCTTTCAGTGGGGAGTGGTACTTTGGCACAAAGATATACATCTTAGCCATGATCAATGGGGTGTTATAACCTCTAGACTCTTCAAGTAGGTACAACTGAGGGGTATAATTTATCTGTTTTAAATCTCCAGGTTTTACTGATTCAGATCACCTCTTACTGTCATTCCATACATAGATCTCCTTCCTGCCTCTGTGAGAACCTGGTTCTTAACATCCACATGTTTCCTCACTTGCTCCATCCTACAATACATATAAAATAGTTTCTTAACTACAATACCAATCCCCCTAAACACAGGAAAGCTACTATGTGAGGTTAAAGATTTGCTTTTCAGTTGTTCTCTCCTTAGGCAGCCAAAATACTATGTTCAGAGGCTTAGTCTTTTCTCTGTGCAGTTATAGCATCATTTTGATGC